CTCTGTCAACCTCAAGAATTTTATTCATCTTCATTAAATTGTGCGTCTCATATCTGACAGTTATCTGGCTGTCTTTGAATCTTTATTGAGGGACAAAAGAACTTTTGGAACCTTGTTTTGGGCAACGAGACTCGCTGTTCACCAGAAAATTTCTACAGATAACCTAATTTCTCAAAGCGCTCTGGCAGTATTACAAGAACGCTGGTGTGAGTTATGGACAGAAGTCTTGACCCCAAATGGACTCATCCGAAAAGCGTGAGGCACGAACCTTGAGCTCGATCTCGCGTTTTCCTGGCGAATGCGTTATTGATGCGCCACCGGGGTCGCCTCTCACCCCCAGAACATGGGAGCTATCGTAGAGGGGGCCACATGGCTGGATCTTCCCGCATCAAGTGCTTTCTTAGTGGGGATTGTCTGAACTTTAAGCCATAATCCTTGTAACGCGACATACGGCGATACACTCGTGACCGAGCCTCACCCCTCCCCTCCCGAGCTAGGTTAGCGCCAGAAAATGTCCTGTTGCGAAATCTCTCTATTGCAGGAAGTCTTTCGACTACCAGTTTTTCTCGTGCAATTTCGATACCACTTACATGTAATGCATTTGCCAATTGCCTTTGTCATTCGCGTTGAGATAACCAGAGTAGGTCTTGAAGTTGGCAACGAATTGAAGTCCTGGCAGATCGACAATGTCGTCTTCACCGGCAGACCGAGTGCCAGTGAATAACACAAGAGAAAAAGCTAGCACGCTCAGCTTCATTTCTGGAAGTGATAAAGGTTAACAAGTATCAGCAAAGGAATTCAAACGGCGCCGTCGTGATAGAAAGAATGAGCAAGGATTCTGTAGCCGAACCCACTGCTCACTGATCCATTATGGAATCTTGTCCGAGGCATGGATTCCTATAAACACGCAGAATTTAGTCAGTCTTGTATCTATTTTGAACAGGCGCAGCTTCCGTTGTGTGCTATGCAACAGGTTTGCGCTTTCAGACCGCATGCAGTTGATACAAGAGCTTTTCAAAAATATGCAGTTAAGAAACTCGGATGCACGGCGCTCACTGAAGGCACTTGGCACGATAAGTATCCTAGATGTGGATAATACGCTTGGCAGGACGGATTTTCGTGCCCCTGAACAGGTGCTGCATAGCGCCTTTTCTTGCAACATACCGACCCGGACGCCCACCGCGCCCGCCCGCCCACAAATGGACGACCGTACCTGATGCTCGTATTGCTTCATTTGCGAAGTAAAATGAAGCGAAGGGATTGATATGAAGCGGCCGCGGTGCTGATCAAACTTTTCTGTCAACCTATTTTTGACATCACCTGCTGATTTAAATAACTCATTCTGCCTTAATTTCTCTAGTAGGCACATCCTGTAAGAATTTCTTCTCGCATCGTGATGGTAGGATTGGCCGTTTCACACCATTGCCTGATACAACCCCTTTCTTCAGGTTTTTCAAGCATGTTAAAAGAGCACTTGACGATTTTGTTTTTGCGAACTATAAAATGGGCAATCCCGCAAGAAACAAGCAACAATATTGACCCGCAGATTGGATGGCCCAATAATCTAGAAAAAGCACTGTGCGGCAGTGGCTCAACAAATTTCGTTCTGGAGATTTCAGCCTTGAAGTGAACCTCATAGCGGTCGATCTAAAGCAATATCTGACCGAGATTTTCAAGGGGTACTTAAGGCTGACCCATCCCAAACAGTTCGCGAGAATAGCCAGAAACTAGGCCTATGCCTCAAATCCACTGTTGCAGATGGTCTGGAACGCATTGGGAAGGTGAAAAAACTCGACAATTAGGTGCCCACAATCGGAGTGACCGGCAGGAATCGGCACGTCTCGGGTCTGCATTGGCTTTTGCGCCAGTCCGATCGCCCTGTTGTTTGGGACCGCAATTTGTCAGCCTTGTGTATGATAACAGGAGACGTTCCGGACAGTGGTTGGATTTCGACGAACCACCGAGGTAATTTTCAAAGCCGAACCCTCACGAAAAAAGATTCTGGTCACGGCTTGGTGGTCATCGGCTGGTGTGATCCACTATAACTTTTTATCACCAGGCCAAACCATCACAGCAGAACCCTACTGTGAAGAAATCGACGAATTGTACCGAAAATTTTGTCAGATGCAGCCAACACTTATCAAAAGAAAGGGTCCGATTCCTACTTCATCAATCAGGACCAGGCAAAAAAGCCTTAGTGGATTTCGTGAATTTTCGACCACCCAGTTTTTTACTTTGATGGGATTTCTCGACTGCTGTCACATTGGCAAAAGTGTGCTGATTCGAATGGTGCCTATTTCGATTAAATCCGATGAGTATTAAAAAAGTTACGATCGTTTAAAGTGAAACACCCAAAACGCTGAGAACTTTCCGGACAACCTAATATATCATAGCGGTTGTTGGCAGGGTGCCTACGGCAAACTAGTTCGGAACTTCTGTGTGAATCATGAAGAACGAAGGGTTTTCGAGGATTTTGACCGTTTCACTTCATCTTTCGCCACATTCCCACTATACAGCATCTTGCTATCATTTTAGAACGAGTACCAAGTTTTCGCGCCATGTGCCTCTAAAGACAAGTGGTAGACATACATCCGGGATCATGGTTCTTGCCGTACTTGGATATGGGTCAGCAGCTGCAGTAGCATGCCACTTGAACTGCTCAGAAGTTCACTGGGACGAGGCTGGAAGGTAGTGATACGTAGGTGCTGTTCGGTGCTCTGCCAGTGCACCCGCATGGTCAGCTACACGCATGGCCATAGCCAAACGCTCTATTTGTCTGCGCTTTCTCAAATCTGGCTCTAAACATCTCGCCCTCTGGTTGCTGAGTGCCTGTTTCGCTTCGAGACCTTGGTAACGACACAAATGCTGCACTTGATGGCGAGCGAAGTATGGAGACGGCACTCGTGTACCACTGTCCTAAAACCCTATTTTCGTGTACATTCAAGCGGAACTACTGCAGTGGCGGAAATGTTCGGTCTCGCACATAGCGAGAATCCTCCGTAGAGGCGAGTGTACAGGTTGTCTTCGAGAAAATGTGAAGCGGAGAGAAAACTTGTGCGTATGAGGGAAAAAGTGCCATGCCTAGCGGTACTAGTGAATTTCAACCTATTGTGTATCCACTGTTGCATTAAACTCTCGACGTATAAAGTCCGTGTGGAGGTTCTGGAAAATGCAATGCCTTTTGCAGTTTATACACTGCTTGGTTCTCGACCTGAAATCATTTCTCTGTTTCCATAGTCTCTCTCCGTCTACTTTTTCACGTTCTCTGTTCTGGAGGCTGTTCAACTATATGAGAATTCCAAGCGGATTACGCGTCATCGGTGACTGCTTATCACTGACCACTGTGATAAGAATTCGTTTACCCTTCCCCTTTAGAGCAGCTGATGGCCGTCAGAATAATGGGCGATGTGATAAGAAATTTGAATCGATCTGAGTCATACTACCGTACTGCTAGAATACACTACTTCTTCGGGGGCTCCGAGCTAATCACACCATTTGCTGGAAAACTTACCACTTAAGATCAGTTTTCTGCTCTCAGCAGGCGAAAGTGTTAGGATGTCACATCGATCTTCCCCCCCCCCCCCACCCCGGTGACCCTTTCTTGATATTGAATTAAATGCTTAGTTCCACACG